TTTATGCACATTATATGCAACAGCTGTATTTGCACTGTAAACCTTTTTTAATTATGTACAGTATATGCAACAGCAGTATTTGCACTGTAAACCTTTTTTATTTAAATAAAGTGTGGGTGAACTTAAACTGTATGGCTATGCTGTGGTTCCTGTAGGCTTTGCGTGCGTGTGGGGGGTGGGGAGGCTGGGGGGGGCCTTATGTCCATTTTGCTTGGGGCCCCCAAATTCCTTCAAACGGCCCTGGATGTATGTATATATCTATCTATCAGTATGTGTGTGTGTATGTATGTCTGTGTATGTTTGTCTGTGTGTGTATGTCTGTGTGTGTATGTCTGTGTATGTCTGTGTGGGTATGTCTGTGTATGTCTGTGTATGTCTGTGTATGTATGTCTGTGTGTATGTCTGTGTCCTTTTGTGTCTGTGTGTGTGTGTGTGTGTATTCCCGTGGGCGGGATTTGTAGGCGGGCACCCGGGGGCCCAGACCTTGAGCTGTGTTAGGGGCCCCACAATTACTGATGGCGGCCCTGGATACAATGTATGGCTGGGTGGGAATTTACCTAAATTTGTGGCAGAGGACATTAAATAGGTTACAGACGACATGGAATAGGGACACGAGATGGATGGCTGAGTCATGGGATATTTGGTTGTTTAGGAGGGGCATGAGATGGCAGAGTATAAATTGATGGAAGAGGAACATGAGATGAGTATCAGAGGGCATAAAGTAGATAGGAACATAGAAACATAGAATGTGATGGCAGATAAGAACCATTCGGCCCATCTAGTTTGCCCAATTTTAAATACTTTCAATAGTCCCTGGTCTTATCTTATAGTTAGGATAGCCTTATGCCTATCCCACGCCTGCTTAAACTCCTTTACTGTGTTAACCTCTACCACTTCAGCTGGAAGGCTATTCCATGCACCCACTACCCTCTCAGTAAAGTAATACTTTCTGATATTATTTTTAAACCTTTGCCCCTCTAATTTAAGACTATGTCCTCTTGTTGTGGTAGTTTTTCTTCTTTTAAATATAGTCTCCTTCTTTACTGTGTTGATTCCCTTTATATATTTAAATGTTCTACCATATCCCCCCTGTCTCGTCTTTCCTCCTAGCTATACATGTTAAGTTCCTTTAACCTTTCCTTTTAAAGATGGCAGGGAACATAGAATGCCTGGAAAGGCAACAAGATGTGTGGCAGAGGAGGAAAACCATGTGATAGGTGTCAGTGGGTATTAAATGAATTTTATGGTAGACGGGTAGAAGGGGCATAATGTAGAAGGAAGGAGCCATGACATGGATGGATGCTGACACAAGACATTATTGGTGGGAGATGAAGGGCATCAAAAAAATGGGAGTATTAGAAAAAAGTTCATTGCATTTGAATAATTTATGAGTTAAAAAAAGCACATGTTGTGTTAACAGACCTTGAAGAACGTTAAATGCTGTGTTTTGAAATGCCTGTTGAAAGCCTGTTGGTTAAATCTACGCTCAAATGCCATTTTATGCTTACGAAATGTATTGGCAAAGTGATGTTTTAAAAAAGAACTGAAGGATACAAAATAATACTGTTCGTTGAATATGGTTATAGTCATACAAATCTTTGGGGATACATTGTTTCTTGTACTGTTGATTCTTTTTCTAAGTTCTAAATTCCTGATATTTTATATATCTAAATAACCTGTAGACCTTTTCCTGATATAGTTGAAGGTTGACTGTTTGTTACTGTCTCCCTCCCCCAGTATTTTGGTCCAAGTTCTAGTACCAGCCTCAGAAGCCAATTAGCATCTTTTTCAAATATCACACTTAGCAATGTGGCTACCGGAAACAGGGGGCACAGTCTTCATTAATGAATAGCTACTTGTTGAGTAGTTCCCTGCAACTAGTTCTAGGCTAATATCTCCATTCAACCCCCTCATGGTTGGAAATTATTTGGTTCACTTACCCCTCCCAACTGTCTTGCTTTTATATAAGATCAATTGTATGAATTTATTAATAAACCAGCACCCATGAGAACCTTACATCTCTTATGAGCCACTTGGGAAAAATTTGGAATGAGGTTGTAACCAAATGAATATATATTTATTTACCTGGACCACAATTTAGTTACCATTCCTCTATTATATACTGTGTTTTATGTAGCAATTATATTGTACTTAAGTGTTCCACAATCTGCATTGCTTTTGTGAATTTGTTGTGATAAAGAATTTAAGCAGGGTTATATTTGCCTAAGCACTGCGATATTTGTATTTGTGGACAATAGCTGCCTTCCCTCTGATTGTGGCTGCCTTTTGATGTTCCTCTCTCCTTTCTCTTGATTGTTGTTGTATCCATTATGCCTCTGTCCTCTGTTTTGGCACAGTTAATCTGCACTCAATAACTGTGCCCGATATGTCTCTTTGACAGACAATAGAAGAACAGTTATATCAAAACCTGTGACATTGAAGGAGTGCCTTCTTGATAACCTTTCACAATGACTCAGGTTTGGGAATTGAGACAGGTAGTACATGTGCTTCACTCTGATAGTAAATATGACCTACTGAGTGCTTTATCATTATTATTATATATTTTTTTTACTAAACACTCTCATTGAGTTATTTGTGTGATGTTAATATTTTTTAAAATTATTTTGTGCTTTTGTATGCTGCAATTTTCAATAGTTTAGTGCCTGTGGCACTATTGAGGGCATATCCTTGACCAACATTTAGCTGTAGATGCCTGAGCTTTGATGAGCATGTCAACACATGATGGGAGATGATGATTTCACCCTGAAATATTATGTTTTTTTACTTACATCTGCAGTACTTCTCATTCAAGTAAGCACTTCCATAGCATTTTACTGGAGTGAAATAATGAGACGTTGTCAATGCCCACAGCATCACAGTTCTAAACCAATACAGCCAGCATGCTCCAGATTTCATCCTAAAATACCTGAAACTCACCTTATGATTGATAACATTGATGACCACCAGTTGCGTAATATAAGATGCATTACAATAGTCAATGATTTCGTACAGATATAGTACAGAGAAAACATTATAATAAAGAGAGTAAAATGGCATGTCCTTCTAGAACAGGGGTGCCAAACAGGTAGATCCGCAGATGTAGAACTACAACTCCCATTGCATGCCATTAGAATGGCAAAGCATCATGGAAGATGTAGTTTTAAAGCACCTGGGGATCTACCTTTTTGGCACCCTGTCCTAGAAGAACACATGCTCCTAAAAAAGTGTTACAATATTACAAGAACATATTAAAAAGCAGCTTTCCCATATTAGCATGAATGTCAAAATGTGGGTTTAGTTTAGTTTAGTTATAATGAACTGACTTATTCCTTAGTGCTTTGTAATGCAGGAACAGAACATACAACAAATAATTAGTGCAATTACACCATTACAAACACAAACAGATGATTTGGGACCCAATTTTGGAACCTTTACCTGGAGCGATGGTTTCTAACTAAGGCCTCAATTTAATATTTTTGGGTACGTTTTTCAAAAAATGTAATATATATTTCGATAAAGTTAAATGATTTTTTCAAAATAGTAAAATATAAAACAATTATGTCATGTATAAAATAATCACTATAATACAATTTTGAAGTATTAAAGGGACACGCCGCTGCCCAAATAAATAATAAATAAAAAACCATAGTAGATTTAGTAGATATATGCATTGCATTACATATACATTTAAAGGAACACTATAGTGTCAGGAATACAAAAATGTATTCCTGACTCTATAGTGCTGGAATGCAGGATTAGGTCCCCAACCCCCCTCTCTCTGGAGATTAAATGTAGTTTTACTCACTATTTCTCCCAAACTGCGCCAGTCACACCTTGGCTGCCCTAGGCTGGCTCCGCCTCCATGGCTGAGTTAATCAATCTTGATGATCTCAGCTAATAAAATGCTTTCCCAAGGAAAAGCATTGTGAGGCCATTGCACATGCAAGGAAAAATGCCATTCTGCAGCAATCAGCATTACCTAAATCAATGCATTTCTATAGGGAACATTCAGCACCTCAATGCAGACTCTGAACGCCATTCAGAAAGTTTGTTAAATCTTTCTCAACAAATATCAATGATATCCCACCCCAGGAGTAGGACTAGGAAAGGTGTAAATCCTGTTTGTGTGCGTGAATGACTGTGTTTTAAACCATTTGCCTAGAACGCTCCCATCATGCCACATAACAGAAATATAGGCAGAGCATTTCTTGCAGATTGCAAGCCCTAGGCACCAATAGGATATCATATCATCATATCATGACTTATTTCCAGTCGGAATCCATTGAGAAATGTTGACAAGTGTCTAACTTGCCATGTGAGATATATGTTTAGCAGTTGTATAAATTTGAATTTGCGTAATGCAAATCTAGAAGCAAAACATGATGTAAATATAGCAATCTATTTGCTGGAAAAATAATAATTTACATCCTTTGAAACCCAGGTCATTTTAATCTTCTGCGCTTTTCCATCATTTGGACATAATGTACTTTGAACGTTCCATATAATGCTTGCAAAATACATTGCATTCAGGGCCAAGATTGAGAGATCGGTAGTATTTAGAAACTAATGTTGAAGTTTGCATTTATCACATTTTGTAGTGCTGCTAATTTCATCTAAATGTTAGACAGTTTGTAAATGAAAACTGACATTGGTGAGATTTTGTAATCTTTGGATCTGAGCTAGGATGTATGCCACAATTTTGAGAGACTGTCTTTTTGTGTATTCATGTTTGCCATCAAGGTTTTGCAATATACTGTTTGTGAGACTGAAGCATCACTTCCTGAAAAATACAAAAGACAACGTAGTCCCTATGTTTTTAGTTAGAAATAGATTAAAATGTAAAAAAGAGGGGGGGCGTAGCCGGCAGCGTTCAGGAGCAGACGCATTCTCCTCCAGCTCCCCGCTACCGGGGCAAACTACAGCCCCAAACGCATGAACCACCCGACATCCAGAGCCCTAACAGCGATAATAGTGCTGAGGAGAACACACCGATCCCGTGGATGCCGTTTTTATTCGCCGGAGGCACCAAAACTCGGCGCAAAACGCCTCGGGCCTACCGCGCGGGAACTCTGCGGTTGCCGCACTTTACAATCTGGGACAGGGACGACTTTGACCTGCTACCACTCACGGTCAGCCCACCTAGGGAACCATCGGAAACCATGAAGGGCCGCAAATCCCAGAAACAGGCGGCGGCAGCAACCGCCTCAAATCATGATATTGGACAGATGTTGTCATCAACTCCACGCACCCAGGAGCCATTGCAACGCCAGCCTGAGACAGCTCCCAGCGCGGTAAGAGAGAAAACACACACAGACGAAGCCCGAACAACACATGGTGCAGAGAAACCTGTGACAGACAAACCTGTTACAAGGCAGGACATCCACGACTTACTGGCACACTTCCAGGACATGTTCTTTGCAGAAATCAACATGGTCAAAACTGAATTGAAAGCAGTCACAGAACGCCTCCAAGCATCTGAGGAGGACACTGCTGACCTGAGGCAAAGCATGACGACTCAAGGGGAATCAATACAGAACCTGCAAGAGTCCCACTCCCTACTAGTTGCCAGAATGGATACCCTAGAAGATAGGAGCCGACAAAAGAATGTCAAAATCCGGGGTGTGGACGACTCCGTCCCCGCGGACGAATTACCACATCTCGTCAGGCGACTTATTGCATCTCTCCTTCCAGCCAAACACGCAAAACAGTTTGACTATGATGGACTATACCGCATTCCAACTTTCTCACAAACACCGAACAACGTCCCCAGGGACATCATACTCTGCTGTCGGTCCCATGCAGACAAACAAAGGCTGCTACAGGCGCTGCGGGGGAAAACACCATTTCTTTTCGAAACTTACTCCCTTACATTTTACCAAGATCTTAGCAAGGCCACCCTAATGTGGCGCAAATCAATGCGCCCCATCACGCAACCCTTACTGACAGCCGGCATACCCTACAGATGGACTAACCCAAGATCGCTGGTGTGCACCAAAGACGGGAAGACCCACAAAGCTGCAAACCCCTCAGAGGGGCTGAAACTTCTGCAAGCACTAGGCCTCCCGGCGCCAGACCCAGCAACAACGTCACGACGAATATGGGATGTAGACCGAATCACTCCTTTCATTCCTGGAGGGGAACGGGACTCCGTAACCTGAATGTGCTTGCATACACATACCTCCACAAGTTTAACGTTAATATTGTTTCACGTTTTACCTTTATGTTTAGTATTGCTCTCTAGACGGCTTCACACGCAGCCTTGTTTAATTTACTTTTTTTTTTTTTTCTCTTATTACTGAAGGTTAAATCCCAGATTTCATATAATGCTCCTGACACTATCACTTACTCGACATCAAAGGACACGCTCTACCTCCCTCTCCCCCCCACCCCAGGGAACGGGGGAACACTATAAAAGCCTGAGACATCATGCACAAGCGTTTACGCATAGGATGAGTTCCTACTCTTGACATCCACAACAGTCTAGCTGCTAGTCTGCTACTCTGAACTAGGGTACTAGTGCCACCCCCCCGCACACTGTCAGGGATCCTGAAACCGATGTACTTGGGTACGAGGGCCTCTCAACATAAAAGGCACAGCAACACCCCACACGTGAAGGCACACAAAACCCCTGGGGCTCTCTTCACTAGCAGGGATGCCTTTAATATCAGCCAGAACTGGTTTTACCAGCCTGATTATACTCCCAAGCACGCTCCAAACCCTCAAGAAACACAGCGCCGCTTAATAGACACAGGCCGCACACCATCACAGCAGCAGGGTTTAGGAATCACACTTCTTTGACCCCCCAAGCTAGCACACAAGCCCTTATTTAAGAGCACCAACGAATCATCACCCTGTTCCACAATAGATGGACATATAATGACATGCCCCTTATTGCATGCCCTCACCATCTACACTGACACACCCCTAACCAGCTAGGATCAGAAGGGGTGGAATGTACAGATGCTTACTAGCTAGACAGGCTTGACTCAACTCGTCCTCATATGTACCTTAGGAATCTTATTTACCAAAAAAAAAAAAAAATAAACTATGCAAAGTTACCATACAGTATGCCATACCAATGTCAATATTTGTAAACGATTGATTGGACTGCAGAAATGGTCATGGTACTGCACGCTTCTTTGTATTCACTAGCACTACAAAAATAAAGAATTAAAAATAAAAAAAAATGTAAAAAAGAAAGACAGAGAAGAAAAGAGGAAGAGAAGAGGACACGATGGGGAAAAAGTAAGTACGGTGTGAAAGCGTCGCTTTAAATATGAGGTTTATCCATAGATATGGTGCAGGTAGGTTGAAATATTGACGTCGTTGACCACTCCAACCATTGGCCTCCATCTTTCCTAAACTGAATTTCTCACCTTTCTTCCTTTAAACATTCCACTATCAATCCATTTCACTGCACGTGAATGGGAGATCCATTATAACAACCAATCCTTCCCCAAACTTGCTACCTTGATGTCTATTGATTTATGCCTCACCTTTTCTACCCACACGCAGTCTACCTCCAACTTCTACCTTAAAATACGTACTTATATTCTGCTCATCTAACACAAGCAGCTACCACTTATTTATGCCCTGATCATTTCCCTCCTTGATTATTGTTACTCATTCCTTACCAGCCCTCCAAATACCCACTTTGCCCTACTTCAAGTTTTTATACTGGCTACCCATCCAGAATCCAGATCAGCTGCTGACACTTACAAACCTCAATTACAATTTTATTATTGAAAAATACACACTTTTCATTCCCTTCACTTTCAGATTTATCTCGATTGTTTTCTGCTTCATGTACTGACTTATAATGTAAATGGTATTTAGGTTCAGACTTTGATTAGACAATAGACTTGGAAATTTGTTTAGTTCTGAACTGGAAGTCGTCCAGATTGGGCCAATTGAGTGATCAGTCAGATTCTAGAACTCCGAACCAAAATGTACCCAAATTACAAACCAGCTGAAACGTGCTATGGCCTGGGAAAAAAACATGATCGGTGGGTAAGGGACAGTCACTAATGTTGATTTTATTCACAGGTGAAAAGACTGGACAATAGAGGGATAAAATATATAAATATATATTTTTTTCTACTGCTCCTCCAGGTTTTCCTTCTGTTGGTTACTGCTTCTCATTTGTTCTGTGAACCAAACGGCAGGAAAATACTACTTTTATTGTACTGCAAAATATATACATAATATTCATATTTTGTAAAAATATAGCAGAACACTGATTGGCCCATTGTCACTCCCTTTTCGGTTGCCTTGTTCACTTCCAAAATCAGTTTCTTTAAAATAACATTTTACTGACATATGGCCAAAATTCGGCTTTTCTAAAAAAAATATTCAAATGTTCTCCCCATGCACAGTTACATAATGGAATTTTATATTCCACATCGTTCTGTGGTACAGCGTTTGTTACTGAACCTACAGTATGTTGTAAAAAACACATACGTTATACTCAATAATGAAACTGATAATTTGATGTTTACAAAAAACTGCATGTAGCATGGCCGAGCGGACCATGATCTCACAGGTAGTGCTCATTGAGAGCAACGAGCACTTCTGTCAGACCAAGTAGAGTAAACAGAATAGTCTCCACTGTGGTCGACATGGCTGGAGGTTCAGCAGGTCAGCAGGGGAGGAATGAGACACCTTAATGTTTCTTCTGTACTTGTCCGTGTGAATATGACATGGATTTTACAAGTGATTTAGATTTGGTAGTAAAGGCTTTTAATTATTTTTTCTCAGCTGGAAATACCAGGTAACATGCTGATATTAATACGGTGTTCACTATAATTTCAGCAAAATGAAAATAACTGGTAACACACACCACACTATATATAAAGTAAAAAAATAAAGTAATAGAACATGGCTGCTGTTTGAAAACAAGTGTATACTTAAAGAAATAATCAACCCGCTCAAAATCCTAGGAAAAATAATAGTGAAGGCTGACATAATGCCTCGCCGAACGTGTTTAATGCAGAATAGACTTATTCTTAGGGGTCTTTTCAATACCAGATTAATACAGAACAGAAACTTATTTGGATATATTCATGTCGAATATATTTATGAATGTTTTAAAATTAGTAGCAGAGATAATATATTAATGACATATATACAATGATGTACATACACTGCTCAAAAAAATAAAGGGAACACAAAAATAACATCCTAGATCTGAATGAATTAAATATTCTTCTGAAATACTTTGTTCTTTACATAGTTGAATGTGCTGACAACAAAATCACACAAAAATTAGAAAATGGAAATCAAATTTTTCAATCCATAGAGGTCTGGATTTGGAGTCACACTCAAAATTAAAGTGGAAAAACACACTACAGGCTGATCCAGCTTTGATGTAATGTCCTTAAAACAAGTCAAAATGAGGCTCAGTAGTGTGTGTGGCCTCCACGTGCCTGTATGACTTCCCTACAACGCCTGTGCATGCTCCTGATGAGGTGGCGGATGGTCTCCTGAGGGATCTCCTCCCAGACCTGGACTAAAGCATCTTACAACTCCTGGACAGTTTGTGATGCAACGAGATGTTGGTGGATGAAGCGAGACATGATGTCCCAGATGTGCTCAGTTGGATTCAGGTCTGGGGAACGGGCGGGCCAGTCCATAGCATCAATGCCTTCGTCTTGCATAAACTGCTTACATATTCCAGCCACATGAGGTCTAGCATTGTCTTGCATTAGGAGGAACCCAGGGCCAACCGCACCAGCATATGGTCTCACAAGGGGTCTGAGGATCTCATCTCAGTACCTAATGGCAGTCAGGCTACCTCTGGCGAGCACATGGAGGGCTGTGCGGCCCCCAAAGAAATGCCACCCCACACCATTACTGACCCACTGCCAAACCGGTCATGCTGGAGGATGTTACAGGCAGCAGAACGTTCTCCACGGCGTCTCCAGACTCTGTCACGTCTGTCACATGTGCTCAGTGTGAACCTGCTTTCATCTGTGAAGAGCACAGGGTGCAGGTGGTGAATTTGCCAATCTTGGTGTTCTCTGGCAAATGCCAAACGTCCTGCACGGTGTTAGGCTATAAGCACAACAGCCATCTGTGGACCTCATACCACCCTCATGGAGTCTGTTTCTGACTGTTTGAGCAGACACATGCACATTTGTGGCCTGCTGGAGGTCATTTTGCAGGGCTCTGGCAGTGCTCCTCCTGTTCCTCCTTGCACAAAGGCGGAGGTAGCGGTCCTGCTGCTGGGTTGTTGCCCTCCTACAGCCTCCTCCACGTCTCCTGACGTACTGGCCTATATCCTGGTAGCACC